ACGGGTCCAAATTCGAAACGCGTTCGGCTAGAAAAAGCCGGTGGACAGACGAAAGCATATTCTCAAAATGAACCTTTGCCCTCTCAGTGCATCTCCGAAACAATAAAATCGTACACAATCCCCAGACCGTTGCCTATAGGAAAATCCGAACCTTAAAAACTTCTATAAACTTCTATAAAAAAAATAATTCTTATCTTTACTGTTCAACGTGAAAAACAAATAACGTTCAAATTGTCTAAAAGGCCCTGCATCAATTGAATGAGCGGTTGTAATAATAATAATATGATATATTTGATCAAAGGTTTATTTATTATCCGGTTATTTATGAGTTTTACAATTGCAAAGCGGATATTTTGTCCAATTGTGATATATAATAATAATATAATATATTAATAATATGTATAGTGTATACCTATAAGCTATAACACATTATATTATTACATTATCTTGTTGAACATTGGTTTAATGTGTTTATATAATACCTATACGTGTAAGTGTCGCAGAATTTACAGTGAATGCAATTAGCAACAAATCACTAATTGGTAATTTACCATACTATACACCAACATGAAGGCTCCGATTTAAGTGATACAAACATTTTTACAACAATCAAAAATACAAACACCAGTTAACCCGTTTTCATATTTGTCATAATTTGTTTATTTTCACTTATGTAGAAAGTATATAAAATAAGCATTAAACGTACTTAAAATTACTTTACTATTATAGTATCTATTCAAAATAATAGATAAATACGTCCTACATGCACTATGTTATTAGTTATTACTGTATCTATATATTAAATCCTATAAAGTTAATAATAATGTTATATTAAAATAATTAAACAACGTACCTATGACTGTGACTGTGGCTGTGACTGTGGAGTGCAGTGTATATCTGTTATATAGAAGTTTAAAATCTAAACTTAACCTAAAGTTTAAAATATTAAATAATATATCTCGTATAATTATTTATTATCTTGTTTTTACTTTTTACTAGTATAAGTCGTAACCATAGATCAACAAATAATTTAGGACCAACAGACAACAATAGGTATTTTTTTTTCCTATTAGAATCAAAGACATCGGGAGAACTAGTTTACTAATAATTCCCTGAAACTACCTACTAATTGACGGACCTACTGCAACAATCAGACCACTCCATTTTTTTGGCAAAATTAGTTTTGTCTTTCAGAAAATAAAGAAAAAATCTCTATAAGTGGGTGCAACAAACGGACATCTCAGATTATTTTTCATTGAATTAACGGTAACAAGAAGTCGGTCGATACTGAGTTTGAGCGTAACAAACATATAGCTTCTTATATTTCAATCCTTTAATACAATTAAACGTTATCATACTTAAATAACATTTGTTTTGACTAAATTTTAAATTACATTTTTATAGTTTGTCTTACATTTAAAAAAGTATAATATATTGAATATGGTGCAACGACCAGATAATTAAGATCTTATTTTTATTAATTATAATTTTTTATCTACACTCATCACATACAGAAATTAATATTAGTTTCTGTATCGGAAATTTCTAACAAAATGTAGACAATTTTTTATGAAAATTGAGTTGTTGCAGCTGCAGGCCCATCAAATGCATCTACGAAAAAAACTGAATTAATTGTAATATTATAATTGCTACGCCGAATAAACCCGGTCGGTTGATTTAAATATTTTACTATAAATTACTTAAAGAAAGGATAAAAAATAAAAATTTTCGAAAAATGAAAGAACTGCAAAAATACATCTTTTTATAACTTATTTAATATTTATCTATATACTCATTTATTTGATCTTCTTATCTGGATTCAGACATTTCAGTATTCTGTAAAAGTATAAAACTCTGTATACATCGTACAAAACGAACAACATGAAAATAGTTTTTTTTTTTTATGAAAAGGAAAATGTAATTTAATTTGTATTGAAAAATACTACCGGTCACAACTCACAGTATCCTAATTTTATTTACTTACGTTTACTTTTTAGACCTTTTAGAAAAACCAGACCGACCACTCCAAACCATTCAGTTTTTCTCAATTTAAATAAATTATTGATTTATAAAAGAAAAAGACTTCAAGCTTTGTAGAAAGCTCAAACGCCTAATCCTCTCATATACATACCTAAATGTAGGACGTAGGTACCTATATCACATCATATAGTGTATGTTTTTTATCAACATTTTTTCTATACATGTCATACATTAGATTAAGACGTTTAACGTTTATTATATTCATATTATGTAAAATTCTTAACTAACGTGCAGTTTTTTTTTCAACATTATATTCAAGTAGGTATTTGTGTGTAATAATAATTTTATACTTACGACAAATCTTTCAAGAATTATTCTTCCATAAGTGATACAATATACATAATAATATAATATTATACATATTTTATTATAACCCATCCGACATAGTGAAAACTGTAGCATATTTTAATTTACATTTCATATATTATGTTATATTATATAATATATATGATTTATTTTTAATGAATTATTTTTAGAAATTATTTTTTTAGTAGTTAGTTAAGTATATAATATATAATAATAAATTATTGTCATTTATTATTGTACATAGCACATTCCACCATTCACTATATTATGAGCGATATAATATAGAAATAATAACATCGGTCGTGGTATACACATACTTACATTTCAAAAGTTTAACTTTTTGCTAAAATTGTTTGATGCCAAGAGTAAGTTTATAATAACTTGTTGCTTATAGGTGAAATAAACATGTCTTTTTGTTTTGGCGGTCACAAATCATGTTTATCAAAGGACGTTTTTGTTCATTATCGTTAAAATAATAAAATATCACTAAGGAGCTCAATTATTATCAGACAAACGATATTTTTCTAAATAGTTTGAATCTCACGAAAAGCCTTTCTACCTCTCTATTAAGTTTATTTAGTTCTATAAAAAAAAACACCAGTTTAAAACTTCATAAGTTTATAAAAATATTTATTTAAAAAAACTTTTCTTAACTGTATTTGGTAAGATTTAAAATTTTATATTTTTAAATTACTAACAAAAAAAACAACTACCTATACAGAAATAACATAGTTGTTAATAATTAAGAGATATTATTAAACGTAAATACTTACGAAATATAACACTTTACAAATAACTAGTAAGTATTATTTGAATTTGTATTTGCCTATTTTTAAATTTTTAATAATCTTTTAATAATTATATATTATACCTATTATACCTAGGTATAATCTATTGATAATTATGTGTTTTAAAAAATAAAACTAGGACTTTTAAAATATTATCATAATAGTAGGTACATGAAGAAATAAATGACAATATAATTAAGTAACTATTAAGTTTTTATATTTTAGGTTCAAATATATAGGTTGTGATTATAATTATTATTGTCATTGAAAGACAACCCGCGACCGACGCCTTGATCTTTAACTCTAATTGGCACGAGGTGACATATTATAAATTTATTTTATGAATATAATTTAAATATATATTTTAAATTTACAATAATTATCCGGCCCGGTTCTTAAACGAACCATACCGTTCGCAATTTTTTATTTATAAATTATATATAATATTTAAGCTTAATAATGTATGAAACATAAATAGGTATTCTAAGAAACTGATATAGATATCCCACTGAATGTATTAGCGGATCGATCAATCGACTCATTTTCAAAGTAGATACCTATACTCCTTTACTTAAACTTATGATGGATTAAAACATTATTTTAGGTACCTATACTAGGTAATTCTCAGTGCGTATACAGTTTATGATAATAATGTATTAATTATTATAGTTATCTAAATGAAACGAGTTGATTAAGTATATAATTAAACATGAGAGTTCATTGTTAAACTGAAGTTTGATAAATTATAATATAATCAACGACCATATATATGATATATCTATATAGGTTTTTCGCACTAATGTGTTTGCAAAGTATGGATTTTGAATTTCCCCAGCATCGCAAGTATACAACAGATACTATAATCTATACACTTTGTCTTTTGTCTCAAGCTATTTTCCACACCCCGTGAACTGGGAGCGTCCGTATCACAAATGTGCGCATTCAAATATTCAATTATTATTTACGATACGGGAAAACTTTTGTCCGCCTATACGAATCTCCTTCATTTCGTTAAAGGTTCACTCTGCCGCAGATTCGAGAACATGCGTTTCGTACCTCAAGTTATCGTCGCAAATAACTCAACACACGAACATTTTTATGTACCTAATATTATATATTAAATTGGGAATTTCGGTGTGATTAGAATTTTGAATTTCAAAACAGTAAAATATTACCCCATTTTTTATAACACACGTGTCTGATAGCCGATAGGTAATCGTATAAATGTATAATATAATATTTAATACGTATCCGCATAATAATATTAATATCTAAGTATGCAATTGGTGGAAGACTACTGTATATTAGGTATACACGCGTTTAATCAACGTTGACTGATTAGTTAGTCGGACACCTGTGTGCTTTTCACATTTTCGTGATTACCACTGAGATTACATATATATATATACAGATAAAGATATGAAGATATATACAGATATATACATATTACATATTATACAGCTTACCGGTATTGCACATAATAATATACTATATAGACGAAGGCACCGCAAATAAAGTAATCGACAAACGTTTTTTTAGTACCACTGTAAAAATGCTTTATTACATGTCAATTAAAAATATTCAAAAATGTATCAAAAACCTCATATAATAATGCATATTGTGTATAAGTATGATAATATATCCACACAAATTCATACCTATACATACTAAAATAGTATAATTATATTATACGAGTAATACAAAATATTTGAAATCAGGATAATAATAATTATTGCTTTTCTGAGCGTTGCTTTATTAATAATATTTATCTAAATATTTATGAGCTTATATGACTTTAGACAAATTGTTTATATAATATACAAATATTATCATCTATACTCAATGCTATTGTTTCGTTCACGGATTTTATGACTTAACATAATAATCATGGCTTACCTTTGGCTTGTGCAAGGATTTCATTATAGCCGAATTTCCTTTGCCCTGAAATCACACAAAAATATGATTTTAATTAAATAGTTATATCATGTTTGGATTATATTATGTGGTATTAAGATTATTATATTAAATTATAAAATGTCAATATTATCACTAATTTCGCAATGTTATAAATATCACTAAACTTAAAAAAAATATATTAATTATAAAACCACTAATGCTTTATCACATAATAGGTACTATCTATATAACATATTTACATAATAATGAAAATTGTAAAATCATTGATCTGGTAAAATTAATATTGTTTTTTTGAACAATACAACCCACTATAAGTGTATATAAAAACGTAGTAGTTAACCAATATTTTAAGTACTCCTTGTCATGGTGCAAACACTTGACTTTGTAATATCGTTATTGAGGTATAATATAAAATGATTCCCATCGCTGTACACACAACTTCGTGCTATTGTATCTATAAACACAAACTCCATAATTGGCTTTCAAGAATTCTTCATGTTCTCAAAACAACACAATTTTTTTATAATATTTTAAGAAGAAAACGTAAATTGGATGTACCTACAGTTGGCCGGTACATATTGTTGTATATCTTCCGTGTATTTATATTAATATATATAAAATATACTGTTATAATTGTCTATGTAATCGCCTATCTAATCAATAAGAGTATACAATAAAATTGTTTTATAAATTGTATTAAATCCTATTATTCAAAATCAAAAAATCAAAAATTGACAAAATAATTATGCAACTAAATGTAAGAAAACTAAAATAAATTATACTTTTGGTTTTTAATGCATTTATCAACAAATAAGTACAAAGTACTATCATATTATTTAATATTTATAAATACATTACATTTATAAACAATCATAGTTTTTTTATACATTTCTCAGAAATCTGATTTTATAATTAATATTTTTATATTATTCTATTAACTACAATAAATTATACTTAAAACTCAATAAATATTCTGTTTCTGTATACAAATATGAAAATATTATTTACTCGTTTTAACGAATGGTTCAGTATTAAACAGTTCTGCAGGTTTACCTTTTTTACTCCCAGTTACTCAATATTTCCTTCGCAGATAAATAATTACAACCCTTCTTTTCATAAATGATCACTGAATATGCTCGGCTATAATTAACGCTTTGCCGTTACATTTTTCTTTAAACCATAATAACATTTTTAATCGCTTCAGACTTTAAATCTCACCTCCTAAAAATTTACTCCAACCCCATTAACCACAGTGCCGTGTTCCTACAAAAAAACTTTCTGTATTAAACTCCCATTTCACATAATATTGATCAAAAAAGAAAAAAATGGTTGTTTGGTCACGTTGGCATATAGCTTCAATAGTAATGAGATCGCCTTGCATAATATTATACTCCAGAAAAACGTGTGTATACCTTGCACTTTTCCCTTTTGCTGACCATGTTATCACTCAAATGCCGCGTGGAAAGTCGGGCAGCCCAAATGGTTGTCATTAATCCTTACCTAGCATATATAGGTGTATCACCAACAAATCAAAATTTATCGGGGCTCTGCTGTAAGCCCGATTCTATCTTAAGAAATACCCTATCATAACCTTCTCTAGTCGCTTGACTTTATACGCATCTAGCTTGGTCATGAATCATAATCGACTCCTACTTGTTTGACTCCCACGACATGTCACTCCTCTACGCATTGAACATAAAGAAGATGTCGGCTGGAATCTGCTATACAATTTAAAGGTAGCTATAAAATCACTAATTAAATTAATTAGAACTATCTAGAGCACTTTACATTTATAATAAAATAATTATTCCTATTAATAATACATTTTTAATTCTATTATAACTAGAAAAATATTTTTTTAAAGTATTATATCTAACAATTATTCTGTTTAATCAAATTTATTCATAGATATCAAATGTTTTTTAAACTAAAAACGGCTTTATAGCACAGTATAGTTTCATATCGATTTATTTTTCCCGAAAACATATAATCGCAATTCCAGCATAAATAAATAAATTATTCATATAATTAATATTTTAATTATAAGCCGTTAATTGATCTTTAGTTTATTCAAATTTGGTTCAAAATGCATTATATTTTAGAATATATTATGACATATTATAGTATATTTGTATGCGTTCTAAGCTTAAAACCATACTAAACAATCAACTATTATAGAATTAGAAACTTACAAAAACAATTTGTCTCATTATTAATATAAATTTATCTCATATAGGTTCTTATTATTCATAAAAATAGCGTTGCATAAATTACTATTTATATACCTCTTTTGTGGGTGTGTTACTATTAAATATAACGCACCGTACATCTCGATGTTTCATTTAAATATTCTGAATATGTAGTTACTAGTCAGTATAAATGGGGGTGAAGGATGTTTTAATTTCATATATTTTGTGTAAATGTTCAACTAATCTAATCACTTTAGGCATGTCATCCTGACAGTACAATATGTAGTCTCGATTTGCTTAAACTGTATTTCGTTGGTGTGTTTGATCAAAACAGACGGATGAGTCACATTTAATACATCAGCCCGACAAGAAGCTTTTACGTTTAAAATTAATTCGTGTCGAGTTACATCTACATAATATAGTGTCCGTCTAGTAAATATCTATATTCCACGTATATATAATAGTATTTACACCAAAAACACATTTACGTAATTTATTTGATAATTTAATTTATTTTCATGTCACAAATCCGAATAAAATTGTTCTCACAAAAAAAAAGGGTAAACTCACCACACGATTAAGCTGTTTCCGTTTTTCATTTGTACATCGTTTCCGGAACTAATTTGGTATGAAATAAAATAATTACGAATATATGTTTACAACGATTCAGTTTATCGTGCAACTGTGATCTGTATTCAGCTATATAAACTAATTTATCGTATGCGAAGCATAGAACATACCATTTTTATTAATGCCTATACCGTTTGATATACACACAAAACCACAATTATATTATAATTATAATATTATGTAATATTTATATCATGTAAAATTTATTCTATGTAGGCTTGAAAATTCAACGATAAATTACTTGAAATGAAAAAAAAATTGTTTAACAAAGAATGTAAAATACGACGAATATATGTATGTATATACACGTAGGTACAATGTACATTCGTAATTAGTTACTTGCGCTTGAATAGATATAAGCGTTTTTCAAATAAATTTACAGGGCGAACATTTATTTAAATATTTTTTTAATATTTATTCGACCTCAAGTTTTAAACCATATTAATTCTTTCCTAATATTTTCAGCAAAATGCTAGAAAGGTAATATTAAAGTTGGTTAGGTATAATTATGATTCTACCTTCAGAGTTTTAAAATGTAATATGATTATACTATTCGTCTATACGTATATTTTATATAAAAAATAAATATGTTTTTTTATTGCGACTTAAATTTAAATCATTATTTAGAAGTCAACCATTCGAGCAAATATGTATTTAACGCACCGCAGATGAAAGTACAAATGTATCAGAAAAACAGCAATAGAACTTTTTCGTGAAAAAATACGTGCTAGGAATAAAATTAATTTAACATTTTTTCTCGGGATTTTTCAAGGAGAAGGGAAGATTAAAGTTTTAATATGGCTTTGTGGGCAACTCTTAATTTTTCACTCTAAAATTGTTTGCACTTTGATAAATCATTTTTATTCGAGTTAAATGACTATATTCCGTCTTAAATATTATATAAACAGAGTAAAAAATAATAATAATAATAATAATAATAATAAGTAAACTCTGATAAAACTTTACGATTTTGTTTACGTTTAATGACGCGATTAAAAAAGTAAAAAAAAACTAGTGCAAATAATAATTTTTAAAGAGTCTGCAGGCACGCGGTGATCCCAAAATCGCGCATACGATGTTATATCAACAATTATTACGCCACTCGTAGTGTATAATAATAATGATAATATATCACAGGCGATAAAGTGTTCGTTGTAATTTGTAAACATAGTACCTATCTACATGTTAAAAATATTATAAAGTCGCAATATTACTATTTGGTTTCGCGAATCCGTAGTCCGTGCACCATACTATTTTATACATTATAATATATTCTATTATATTGCCTCTTCTTTTACTCACTATCTCTGTCTTACACACACCTAACCTAAACCGACACACGAAGGTGCATAAAGCGAACGTGAACAATAATTATTATTAAGTTTATTATAATATACGGAGTGTGCGATTCGTGCGTGGCGCAACGTCCGAGAAGTCATTGTTAGAGGCTTGCACAACAGCACACACATAATATACTATATACACACGCGATGGTTTACCGACAAATGTGCCGCTAGCTATAATAACCGAGTCAATAACACAAGCCGTTTCAAAAAATGGGATCGTGGAGGATATTATGGTGACTATATATGGCCGATATCACTTTTAACCGATATATTCAAAACTTTGAACAAACGCATGAACCGATATTATAAAATACCCGATAATACTTACCGATACCCGATAATACTTACATAACATGATAACATCAATATGGTTATAAATACGTTTAGTGTTTACAGTTATAACCGCGCTCAGAGTTGATAATATTAGATTATACATATTATAATGATAAATTGTTTTTTTTTATATCTGTTCAAATATCGGTTTAAAAAAAAATACCGATATTGCCAATATCGGCCGATAATCGATATCGGTTTGCATATCGGCCCAGCCCTAGCCGATACAAAAGTAAGTATACCTTTTCACCACCACCGACCGAGCACCATCCACGAAAATAATAAAATACTTCCCTAAAACGTATTGTATAGTGAAAATAAACACCTATACAATTTAGAACGGGTATATTGGTATGGAAAAATATTGTCTCGTCCGCACTCGACGTTCACGCGATCGTTATTGCATCAAAATATGCCACGCCTGAGTAATAAAGTCTGTTCCCGACCTTTTCTGAGCTCGATGATAATATGTACCGTTTACGTATATCGTGTACCTACCTATATATTATTATAACAATAATATATG